ATTTGTCATCAACAATTTGTAATGAATTTATTTTAATTATTAGTGATCAGTATTTTAGTATTTGAGTATATTAGTATTTGAGTATTTGATTTGATTAAGTATATTAGTATTTGAGTATATTAGTATTTAAGGTAGGTCATACAAGAAATAAAAAATGCAAAATACTATTCTGTCTCAGTAGACCGGATGTTTTGCATTCAGACCAGTTAACATTAATAATTCGATATGTAAGAGCAAACGGACCAGTTAAAGGTTTTAAAAATATAATATATTCCGATATATGAGCCTACTGGTGACAGCTTGGCAAAAATACTACTTGCATTTTAAGAAGAGACTGGATTAAGCATTAAAAACTGTAGAGAACAATTGTATGACAATAGATCAAATATGAGTAAAAATTACCATGACTGATGGATGTCTGAATCAACAAGCATGTCTGAATCAACAAATGAAAAAGATAATACGCGATTGGAAGCAAAAAGACTTAATGCAAGTATGAATAAGGTATGGTCAATGGTTTTAGAAAGATTTGACAAAACAAGCAAATGTCTTCAAGATTCAAAACTAGATTTGAATACAGCTACAAAGTTGTTGCAATCCTTAAAAACGTTTGTTCAAGAGTTTCATACTCAATTCAGAAATGTAAAATTCGATGGGTCGTCTACCCTTCATCTTCTTGGATTAACTCTTACTTCTGATCTTTCTTGGAAACCTTGTATCAAATCCGTTGCAAAATTAGCATCTGCTAAAGTTGCATCTCTTTATCGATCTTGACACTTTCTTACTCTGGATTCTATTTTCTATCTTTATAAATCTCAAATCCGGCCTTGTATGAAATACTGTTGACATATCTGGGGCGGATCTTCTAATGATGCCCTTTCTCTTTTAGACAAGGTGCAAAAACGCATTTTAAACATAGTTGGACCTGCTCTTGCACCCAACCTTCAACCACATCGTCGTAATGTTGCTTCTCTTTCACTTTTCTACAAATACTATAATGGGCACTGCTCTAAAGAGCTAGCATCTCTTGTGCCATCTACTAAAATTCATTCTTGTGTTACTCGTTATTTAATTAAGTCTCATCCTTTTTCTGTTACTGTTCCTAAGTGCTCTAAAAACTTTTATTCGTCTAGTTTTTTTCCTCGAACATCGGTTCTTTGGAATTCACTTCCTCCGTCTTGCTTTCCTGATTTATATAATTTGCAATCTTTTTAAGTCGTCTATCAATCGTTATCTTGCTCTACAATCTTCATATTTTCTCTTCCAGTAACTTCCAACACTAATCAGTGGTTGCTTTCAGCCTTGTTGGAAGCAAAGATGTTAATAAAAAAAAAAAAAAAAGAAGATATTGCGATGCAGAAGCAGAAAATACTGACGCTGGGTTGACACCTTCGGAAAAGTTTAAAATATACACATTAGTTCCAATTATTGAGAAGCTATTATCAGCCTTGAATCAGAGAATTACTACATATAGTGTTATTGCTGATAGATTTGGTTTTTGTATCAAGTTAATACTTGAAAATTTTATAAATTGCGAGCCAAACCGTGCATGTAGTTGAAATATACATGAAGGCATTGAGTTCAGTTCACTAAAATTCCTGATAAATCAAACCACACCAGGAAATTTTTACTTTTTTCAAAAAATAATATGCGGATTAAAAAGTCGGTGGACTCTAATTTCGGTATCACCATGGGTAGTTTTGACCAACCGAATTATGTGAATTAGTTGGCGTCTATATCTTATACACTATTGCTAAATAATATGGTCTAAATACTACCGGTCAATATAGAGATGATGGTCTTTGCTGCTTCTATAATACCAGAGGTCCTCAATCGAAAAAATAAAGAAAAATTTAACAAAAATTTTAATAAGACAATTTTAATCTTAACATCACGACCAGACGAAACTTAAAAACCGCTAATTTTCTTGATATCATATTTAATCTTTCTGAGAACTCTTTTAAACCTTATAGAAAACCAGGAGATAACCCTTTGTATATTTACATCAATTCTAACCATTCACCTAGCATAATTAAATCGATTCCAAAAATGATCTCTAATCGCATCAGTAATATATCATCAAGTAAAGAAGCTTTTAATAGAACTGCATCATTTCTTTCAAAGATTCAAAGATAAGATCAATTTCATTCCAAAAATCCAGAAATATAATACAAAATCTCGAAAAAAAGACATTATCTTGTTTAATCCATCTTATTTGCTCAATGTCAGAACAAACGTAGCAAAAACATTTTTGAGTACAATTGATAAATATTTCCCTAAAGGCCACAAATTTCACAAACTTTTTAACCGGAACAACTTTAAGGTTAGTTATAGCTGCCTTCTAAACATCAATAGTATTATTACTTCTCATAATAAAAATATGCTGTTTAATTCTCATGAAAATGCCAATCAATTATGCAATTGTCCACAAGCCACTTTATACCCACTCAATTATAGAAAATACCTTACAAAAAACCTTATTTACATTTGCAACGTAAAAACTCACCAAGAAGTAGGTTATATATATAACATTATATATATATATATATATATAAATATATATAACGTTATATATATATATATATTATATATATATATATATATATATATATATATATGTATTTATATTTATTTATTTCAGTGATCGAATACAAATACAATAATCCATTTATAATTTGATGAAGAGGTGCTAAACCAGGCCCCTCTATGCTGACAAACATGGAGATACAGACGCTACAGACAAAGCAGCAGTTGTATCTATAAAGTTACTTTCTTATGTTATTTTTGAAAGCGTTGATGGATTGAGCGTTCACTGCTTCTTGCAAAAGCGCATTCCATGGGGCGACAATTCTGTTTGAAAAAAGTTATATTGCTCCTCACAGTTTTTTACCATCTGACGTTCTAGTTTATGGTTATGACCTCTTAGAATATACTTATCTTTACTTTTTTAAAATTTTTGCGGGACGACAAAACTGACAAGCTCGAGTTTACGAGTGATTTTGAATTGCTCGATAAGATCTGCTCTTTTGCGGCGTTCTTCAAGAGTTGTTAAACCAAGCCGTTGGAGTCGATCTTCATAGGACAGGTGTTTAATAGTCGATATTGTTTTTGTTGCTCATTGTTGGACCTGCTCGAGAATGGTAATGTCTGATTTTAAATGCGGTGACCAGGCTTGTACAGCAAACTCAAGATAGGGGCGAATGTAAGTGAGATACAGAGTGCGCCATAAATAAAAACTGCGACTGCGAAATGTTTTTTTTAGTCGCCCTAGCATTCTATTTGCTACTGATGCGGCGGACTCTATTTGCGGTCTGACTTTAAGATCATTCGAAACCATCACACCAAGGTCTCTTTCGACTGCGGTTTTTTCGAGAGGACGACGGGTGCCGTCGACGTTAAACATTGAGTATTTGTACGTCGACTTGTTACATCCGCGCCCAACATGCATTACTTTGCATTTCTCAACGTTGAAACGTAAGAGCCAAATGTGTGACTATTCCACTGCTCTGTCAACGTCATCTTGGAGAGTGATGCTGTCCGACTCCTTTTTAATTATCCCTATTATTTTGCTGTCGTCGGCAAACAGTTTCATATGATGAGTAATTCTGTCCGGCAGGTCGTTTACAAAGATTACGAATAGCAATTGGCCCAAGACCGAGCCTTGAGGGGCTCTACTAGTGACTGCTTTCCATTCAGAAGTAATGCTATTTATAACCACTTGTTGACATTGGTTGTTTAGCCAAGCTGCAATCCAATCAGCGAGAGCGCCTTGAATACCGTACGCTTTCAGCTTATGAAGGAGGCGTTTATGCGGTACTTTGTCGAACGCCTTTGCAAAGTCTGTGTAAATGACGTCTACTGCGTGTCTGCAATGAGTTGCTTCCGTTCCGAGTTTCTAAAAGGTTTGATACGCATCCTTTACAATGAACAAAGCCATGCTGGTTTGGAGAAATTAGTCCATTAGCAACGCAGTGTTCTATTATTCTTTTTTGTAAAATACTTTCCATAATTTTGCAAGGTATGGAAGTGAGCGAGACTGGCCGGTAGTTGGTTATAAGGTTATATATATAACATTGGACTTTCTGGAAAAATTTTTGAAGGCAGGTGGTATAAACATAAAAACGTTTTTTTTTATGAAAATAAGGGCAACTCCATTTAACTTTCAAAATTTGTGTGGGAATGTAAAAATAAAGCTTTAGAACCTATACTAAAATGAAATAAGTGTGACCAAATGTGTGACCATTCCACTGCTCTGTTAAGGTCATCTTGGAGAGTGATGCTGTCCGACTCCTTTTTAATTACCCCTATTATTTTGCTGTCGTATAAATAATAAACATTGGCGTTTGGGTATAAATAATTTTAAGATACCTAATCCTTTTGCGTATTTTTATGAAGCTTTATCTAAAATTAATTACGTGTAAATATGTATTTTGATTTTATTACGCCATATGAATTGCGATTGGATCAACTAAAAATCCAGTTAAGTTGCTCCAGATGGTTAGATTGGGTCAGCTAAATTATGCGACTGGGTAACAGTTGATTACATTCTATTTAAACAATTCTATATAATAAAAGTTAAATTTTAGTTTAAACATATTATAGGTTGTATTTTTTTTTTTTATAAATACAGCCTATAGTATGTTGTAAACTCTAAATATTTATAGCTTGTGAAAATAATTGTTAATTTGAGTTGACTACTTTGTTCTAGGAACTGCGCTTTCACTAGTTAAATAGTCCCCAAAAAATTGACTTTCAAATTATAGTCGGTTTTTAACGAATTTAGACGGCTAGTTGGGTATCTGACACAATTCAGTCGGTTAAATTTTCTTTTTTTTTTCGTTTTTTTTAGAAGTTAGTTTATACTCTTTGAGGATTCACCCCCCCCCCCTTCTCATTTTATTCGTAGAATCGCCTATGAAAATCCAGAGCTCACAAAAATTAAATTAGCTAATAGCTTATGAATAGTTAGGTAAACAACGTTTAATTAAAAATTCAATATATGAGCTTTATGACTTCCTATTTTAATTTTTGTTTCGTGTCATAATATACAAAACATGTTACTAGAACATCGTTTCATGATCATAACATGTTTTTAATAACTGTACTAAACTGTATGTACCAACAAAATGATGAAAAGTATTACCCAAAATAAACTTCATTGTTTTTATTATTAATTTCATTTAAATTTGTGAAGAACCTTCATTTGAGATGTCGTATTGATTATTTTCTATCGCAAACAATTTAGAATTTTTTTGATTCAAAGGCGTATCCATCATAAAAGAAAAAGTTTGATCCTTTTTATTTGGTTGTTCTCCGCTGCACGCAATAGTCAGAATGATTCTTTTTATTCCTTTTTTGATTTCAGAATTTGAAATGGAATAAAGGATTGGATCAAAAATGCAGTGACAGTAAGACAACAACTTAGTCCATTTAGCTGCAATCATAACATTGATATTGGGACTTCTAAGTAGCATCATTTCACAAGCGAAAAAAGGTATCCAGCATAAAAGAAATACTAGTCATTTTCACTAGTTTGACTGTTACTGCTAATTGCTGGTTTTTATAGAAGTTATATGAAGATTCCGAGGATTTTTTGGCACTACGAACTTTCCATATTGCTATAAAAAAGGTCAATATTATTATCAATGCTGGTATACCGTATGCTAACACAAAAGAAATATATTGCACTTTACGGATGTCAATAGTATAAAAATTAATGACGTATACAACTATTGTATAAAGCCATACTAATGCAAGAGAGTAAATGCACTTTCTGGGTGTCACTACTTGTAAGTGCCAATATGGTTTGAAAATTGCAAAACATCTTTCGACAGATAACAACGCCAAATTTGCAAACTGAGCGTTTATCAATATAAAGTCAATGTGATTATACCAATTTAAAATAGATTCAAAAGTATTTTTTGAAGTGAGTATATATCGGTGAAAGTAACCTTCTTCAATTATTATTGTCACAGATAAGTGCAAGACTTGAGCAGATAAAGCTAGCAGTAAATCAATTAAAGTCATATGCATTGCGTAAACAGCGGTATTAAGCGATTTATATAATTTTGTTGTTTCCACAGCAACTAATACAGCTAAGTTTATAACTGTTGTTATCAGAAATATTAGTGCACCAAATATCATATATATTACATAAATGCTGTATTTTGGAAATAATGGCTCAATGTAAAATTTCCAAGTTTCATATTCATATGACGAACACTGAGCTGTGAAAGTAATTAAACGAAAATTTATTGTCGTTAGACATAGAAGTGTGGTGCTTGATTTTGAAATTCTACTTGGTTCACAAAAACTATAAATAATATTTTTGTTTCCACCACAAGATGGAGCAGGGTATTGAAGAAAAGGGGTAGTAAAATTTTCCTTGCATGAAATTCGCTCTCCCGGAACAGTTGAAACTATGGACAGAGGAAACAGGTAATATAATACGACAGTCGAATTCATGTTTAAGCACACATTTATGCAAAGCTTGAAAAAGTGTGGTAACATCATTATTAATATTCCGTTTGTAAAACCTTTTAGACGATATTTCGTCTGACTTATTTCCCGTGAACTTTGGAAAGTCAGATGATTTTTGAGGTAGTGTAATTTACAATCAAATAAAAAAACAAAGGAATATTGCGTAGTGTTAGGGGGTTTAATTCAAATAATATAATAATAATACCAATTCAAATTTCAAATAAATTATTTAGTATTGAGAGAATTCGTATTATTTATATAATGTTTTTTCATTTTTCCATAAAAATAATTATTTGTTAATAATTTATTTGAAATTTGAATTCGTATTATCTGATATTTTAAATTAGTTTATATATATATATATATATATATATATATATATATATATATATATATATATATATATATATATATATATATATATATATATATATATATATATATATATATATATATATATATAATACAAATAACAAAATAAATAACAATATAAACACTAGAAATCACTACAATCTTCCCATCTATATTAAAAATTAACAATCTAGTTGCATCATTTCAATATAAACTCATCATGTTTTACCGAAGCTTACATTTGAGCAAACATGTTAAGATGAAAAGATTGTTATGATTTCTAGTGTTTATATTGTTATTTTTTTTGGTTATATATATATATATATATATATATATATATATATATATATATATATATATATATATATATATATATATATATATATATATATATATAATCCTCAGCGGGAAGCATAAGATATAGCTCTCACTTTAGCCCACATTCCGCTAAAGTGGTATACGGCTCTCTCAAAAATATAATTTTTTCATAAATACAAACCGCTTTTCTTATTATTTGATATCGATTAGAAAAATTAAAAAAAATTGGGCAAACTACATAGAATAAAAAAGACAAAGTTTGAGTATCAGATTGACTTTTTTTGCTGACTAAATACAATTGCTTATTTATTTTGCGTAACATCTACTGATTGTTTTGTAGCGCTTGAGATTATATTTTAACTATACAAAAACTTTTTAACTACACTATAAAATAACTTAATTATCAAGTCAACAAGGCTTACAACTTGTTGACTTGATAATTAAGTTATTTTATACTACAACAACTTTATTTTTAGTTAAGCAGAATTTAGTATTACAAATGTGAATATTATTATTACATAATTATACTATAAAGCAGAGTTGTTAAAAAGGCCAAAAGTAACAAAGACAAGGCTAAGGCCACATGTTACAAGGCCAAGGCCAAGAACAAGGCCAAAAGTTACAAAACCAAGGCCTTAATTTTTAACCTTATGGTTTTGGCTACTTACCTTTGGCATGGTCAAGGCCAAGGCCAAGGACTAACACATCTGCTATAAAGTTGTCGTAGAAACACAGATAAGCAGTATAAAATCTTTTGTGTGAAATACCGTATAACATCACTATAATAATGACAATATAGTCAAGTTTGCAAAATTGTTAATAAAAGAAAAGCATTATCGTTGTAACTATAGTTATCTTAAAAAAGATAAAAAAGTGTAAAATAATAATAAAAAAAAAAGCCAATTGAAATGCAAATGTTTTTAATTAGGTTGAACTAACAAATTGGTTTCTTAAATAAAAAATTCAATTTCTTAAAAAAATTCTATTATGAAAAAATAAATTGATAATATTCTTGTAACAAATATAAAATTAAATTTTGTATTTAATAAATAGTAATTATTTAATTTAATAATTTAATTAATGAATAAACAGATAGCTTGCACAAAAAACAAAAGCTTCCGTAAAAAGTTGATTAGTGAGGCTAGTCACATTCGTTTTAGAAGGGCTTTTCTCATGCACTCATTTACTCCTGCAGAGGCCTGTATTATGTTTCAACTCTTGTATCTTTAGATTAGTATATTATTGTTGAATAAAGATTTTATCAAGAGGTCTTCATTTTATGAGTTCTTAACAATCAGGAAAGTCAAATTTGATTTCCCAACTAACACAGTACAGGCATTCTTCAAAGTCTCTCATGTTCCTCTATCCACATTTTTTTTAAACTAGTTTATTCCCAACAAGGCTGCAAGCAACCAAAATTTATGTTGGGAGTGACAAGAAAATAAAGAAATATTTTTATAGACCAAGAAAAACGGTAGAAAAAATATTTTAAAAAATTGTAAATTAAACGAGTTTGAAAAATATGAGGAACTTTAATATTGCAATTAATAAGAATGATTTATCAAAATTTATGTCAAAAACTTTCTGTAGCTTTTGAAATAAATTTGATTTCAACACTGACAATGATAAATTTGATAATAACACTGAAGTATCGACAACACTGAAGTATCGACAAGAGTGGCTATTTTCCTTTGAGAAGGAGAACAATAAAAAAACAAAGAGAAAGGCGAATGAAAAGGTTTTAAATAAAAGCACATAAAAAAATAATCGAGGATTCAAACCTAATTTCACAAAAAATAAATGAGTTGATACAAAAGCATAAACATAAACTAAGCATAAACATGTGATTATTGCAGTTTTTGAGAATCAAAGGAAAATAGCCAATAACACTGAGATCTAAAGATGAAACAGGTGAACTCAAGTTAGTCACACAAAAAGCAAGTAAGTAAGTGATTATTGCAGTCTTTGTGAATCAAAGGAAAATAGCCAATAACACTGAAATCCAAAGGTGAAACAGGTGAACTAAGTTATTCACACAAAAAGCAAGCAAGTAAGTGATTATTGCAGTCTTTGTGAATCAAAGGAAAATAGCCAATAACACTGAGATCCAAAAATGAAACAGGTCAACTCAAGTTAGTCACACAAAACAAGTAAGTCTGGTAAACTTTTCAGTAGTCTTTATCAGATTTAACAGGTGAAAAGCTACTTTACAATAGCTTCTCACCTGTTAAATCTGATACAATTATTTATATAAAAAAGATTAAAATGAATAGTAGGTTGTAATGGTTTTTAATGATCATTTTAATAATAATATAAACTCTAGTTAGCAATAATAATAAACTCTGGTAACTAACTCAAATAGATATTTTATTATACCTTTCTTAAGGAGTTAAAGGGAAGAGTTTTATAACCACTAACAAGGAGACACAAGTAACAATCCACAAGTAGAATCAAAATGATTTACCACTTAAAGCAAGAAACACAGGTTTAGATTTACACCAGCTTAATAGATAAAAATTGGTGCGAAGCTGGTTAACAGAACTTTCTGCTTACACATTAAGCCAATAAAATATTGGCTTTCCGATTAGATTAATTAAATAATGTATTTATATTTGATAAAATACAAATACATTAATTTTTGATACAAATTCAAATACAAGTATGTAATCAGCATTTTCCAAATACAAACATTTTAAGTCAAGAAAAAGTACAAACATTTTTTATAATATTACTAATAATTTAATATAATAAATAAAATGAAAATAACCCTAAAAATATCACTTGAATTTAAATTTTAAAATTATTTTAGTGCTAAAAATGAAAAACGTAACAAACTTTTGATTTTTAGCATAAAAAACATCAGTCAATATAGGTAATTTTGGTAAAATAGGTAATATAGGTAATTTTGGTATAATATAGGTAATTTTGGTAAAATTGACTGGTGTCATTTTATGTAAATATACTTTTTAATCAAATACAAATATTTAAGAAGTTTTTTTTTTATTAAATACAATAAAAGTACAAATACAATAAAATAGCCTATTATTACAAAAGACAAATATCTATTTAACCTCAGGTTCAATAGATATTTGTCTTTCGAAATAATAGGCTTAAAGGGTTTAATAGGGTTTAAGGTCTGACCTGCTCCAGATCAGGCCTTAAACTGGATGAAACCAATTTTTTAGTTTAGTTTCTAGTTTAGTTTCTACTACTTCAAGAATTTATCAGTTTAGATTAATATCAATTTAATATAGTTTCATTAATATTTTTAATATAAAAAAATACGTAATTAAACAGCACACTGAAGTCATACCAACAATCTTGAAATGGCAGGTAAACAAAAATAAAATACCTATACCCAATAGATTAAAAAAAACATGTCGTCAATTATTCTACTATTTTAACCTAAACCACCCTTCTATACATATCAGCCTTGGATTTAAAAAATTATTTTGAGAAGAGTCAATTTTGGGAAGGAGGGAATCTTATACATTGAATAAGATACATACAAATGTACGTATGTTATTCAAGTAATACATATATTTATATTTTATGACAAGCATTTTGGCGATTCTTAAATTATTGAAACCAGAGAGCTTATTTTTCAAACCCACTTTTTTGACGATCTTTTTACAATGTTATTTATTTAACAATAAATAAACTAAAATTTAAATTTTAAAATATATTCAGAAGTTTTTGAATAGTGTATGGAAAAATATTGATGTTAATTTCTTCAGTTAATAAAACTTGAAATTTTTAATTTTCAATGTCAGTAAATTTTTTTCCATTTATCATAATAAATAAATATTTACTATTTTTATAATTACATAACAACATTTTCATAACAATTTTAACATAATTTAAACTAAAAAAATTTAGCTTTGAAAAAATATTTATGCAAATATATTACAATTCAGTAAATACCTTTTTGTGATGTCACACAAGTAACAAAAAACAACGAAATATTTTATTTGTGAACAAACAATAATGCTTTTTTAAAAAAATATTTTTAGTTAAAAGCAAAAATTATTGAAACAAAATGAAAAAATTTTTATGGTGTTTTAGTAAAATACCTAAAAAAAATTAAAAATAGTTTTATATTTAACGATATATGTGTGACATTACACAGATAAGATCATTAAATAAATATAAATATAAAGGAACAATAAAACCATCAATAAAGTATTTAAAAAAATAAATTACGAGTCAAAATCAATTAAGTCAATAAACGTATTATCTGAAAATACAAAAAAAACAACAATTAATAATAACGACGTAACAGAAAATTTCTTATTTATTTATTACTTTTTTTTTTTAATGTTAATATTAGGTGCCCCAAGATGTCCTTACGGTCTTATCACAGAGCACCGCGGAAGAGCATTTAATAGGAAGTTCACGCCTCCTTCCCAACCGATG